CGAGCTTTTTTACCACCACATTGTGCAATTTCTCTCACTGAATTGCAAGTAAACTGTACAAACTGGATGAACCAACTGATTTTTACTCAAACCCTCATTAACTGAAGAGTTAAATGGATTAAACCTTTGCAAAATTATAATCGAGTATAAATCGATTATTAAGAATTATCTTATAATATGTTAGAGAATCTCCAATGGTTTGTGTGGATTGTGGTTTAACACGTGGCATTTAAATATACAGACTTCATGTTCATATTCAGTGAATGGATGAGCAAGCTCAAATTTTGCAAACCACCAAAAACTCTGCAATACAAACATTATCTTCTCAAATATTTAGATTAATTGATTTCGAAGACGTTGCAAAGATCCAATTTTGATTGTAAGTATCTCAATATAGTAATAATCTATAACAATACGAGGTATTTTTACTTGATTCAATAAAATTTCGCTCTCATTTTTCGTGTTCGTAGATTTCAAATCTTGACGTTGTAGTATGTAAGAATGATGTCTTTAGAGAGTGGAAGAAAATCGCCAAGAAATTGGCCTATACAATGGTATGAAGCACCCGAATATCTTCGATCCTTCTTAAATTTTTACTGTGCATGGGAGAAATGTCGATAGACACTCCAATTTCTGAAATGTTTATCACAATCTCATAGTTCTATGACTATATCTTATCTCCAAGTAAAGGGAAAAAGTAATAGGAAGATATGATCAAGGCAATTTTTGTTTTATAATATCTATCAAAAGAGATTGAAGTGGAGAATAAGAAGCTCTCTTGTACCAGTGAGGATACACACACAGGATTAACCTCTTTGTTCCAACACAAGTTTGAGCTATAAAGGGGGAAAAAGGGAAAATTTGTTACTGAGTTGTAGGAGGCTGAAATATGTGCACAAACTATATGGTGGAAATTAGAAATATGTTGGGGGCTGACAACGAAGTGCATTAACTGTTGTTATATTTATTGTCGTATGTCTATCACTTTCTAGAGCATCGAATTTTTCTTTCCAACAAACGTCAACAGACTTTTCATAAATAGATATGGAATGATCAACAAGATCGAACACATGATACAATCACAAATAAAGCGGAAACATAATTATAATCCAAGCCCACACAATTCACGATGTGTTCTTAAGACGAATTTGCTCTCTTCTGAATACATACAACAATCATCTCTCATGATAGAACGAATTTTCACTCTTACAGAAGCAACATAGCAATGTGCAAGAGTTCCAACATCCACAAATTTTTGTTTTATACTCGAAAATCTAGAACATAATATATGAAGTATTGCATTGATACATCATGATTAATTTAATGTATATTCTTATATATACAATTGGTTTAACAATTATAGCATAGATGAACGCTATTTATAGTGCGTGTGGCAATTCAAACAATCTAAAAAGCCTTTCACGAACGGTGGTGATTGTTCAAACGCCCTTTCAAATGAACATATGCATTTGTTAAGTCGATCAAAGTCATTCGCAGATGATCACAAGTCAAAGACGTTGGTCACGACGAAAAACTTGTGAAAAAAGCCAAACAATTTGAAATATAATATCGTTAAGAATAATTTCGAATAGGTACCCAAAATATTTGATTTTGGTCCAAAAAATGATATATGTTAGACAATGACCTGCACTCGTACCAAATTTGGCTCACGATCGTGCACGTGCCGTGCTGGTCAGATGACAACACACACACACACATATGGGTTTTCGGCCAGACTTAATAGGATATAGGTCTCCCCTTTCAAAGACTAGTGAATTTACTTTGGGGCTCAAATCGAATTGTCGAACTTTCACTATTGAAACCAAACCAAACCAAACCAAAACTTTCAATTTTTCCTTTGTGGGATAAGTTATAAAAACTCGAACAAATTCTTGTGTATTTATTATTGTGTTTAATACTTATCATTTATGGGACCAATAGATGATTTTGTTGTGTGATTTGTACAATTGTTTAGAGATTATTATAAATTTTAGACCAAAGTTTAAATGTCCTAGGTTCTTGTAGAAAATAGAGGTAAACCTCTAACTCTAGGTGGCCCATTGAACTATTTTCACAATGGTTTGATGTGATTAGTTGTATTCTAGCAATTATGGCTAATTTCACCATAGATAGGTGATTAGTTAAAATAGAAAAATTAGATCTAGCATTGTAACTAAATCTTTTTGACTTATTACAAAATTAATTAGAAGACCAATTATGTGAAATCATGAATCTCAACTCTTTCATAATCAAAACTTTCCTATAATTCTTATTTTTTAATTTTAATTGAACTTTAAACTATTTTTCTTACATATTCAACATCAAAATTCAATTGTGTATATATCGTTGTTAGAATTTAAATTTAAAAGAAAATATTCCTCGTGGGTCGACAACTCGGACTCTTTAGTCCACTTTATTACTTGAAATCGACATATGAGTTGTGGTCTATATTATTATCGAACAAATTTTTGGCACTGTTGTCTGGAAATTGTTTTATTTGATTATTACCTTAGTTGATATTAGTTTTAACAATATTTAT